AGCTCTTCTTCCAGGTCAAGGCAAAGTGCTATAAGAAATGAAGCAGGAGAGAGATCTTTCGCCTGAGGGGGTCCAGGAATGCTTCCTGGAAGAGATACCTGAATTGGACCTCATGGGACTTCAACAGATTTAGAAAGAGGAGGGGTAGATGCCTCCACTGCAGGTATGGGGTGGAGATACCGTGACCAAAGGCATGAAGAAGGTATCAAGTAGGATGGGAGGCAGGGAGAGAAAAACAGGCGGCAGTGAGTGATCTAGCTTGGCCAGAGACAAGGTGAAGAGCAACAGCATGAGAGCTGAACAGATCAGTTGGAGTCAGACTGTAAAGACCTTTGAATCCTGGGATTAAGAGTTTGCATTTTATTCACTGGCAATGGGAAGGGCACTTCAAGTTTTCTTAGTAGAGTAATGACATTATTGTTATCTTTTATGATTTGAACTGCAACGTAGAGAGGAAATAGACTAGATCCAGAAAGCTTTTACAATGAAAGAGAAGAGGGCTTAAATTGGGGTGGAGACGAGGGACAAGACACAAAAGATGTTTCAGAAGTCTCTATAAGCAGATTTGGGCACTGAAAGGATGTGAGGGGAGTGGGGGGAAGAGTTAAAAATGATCATAAGGTGATGAACTTGGGAGACTGGTGAAGCTAGGGGAAGAGGCAGATTTAGGAGGAATATAAGTTTTGTGAATTTAATAAATGTTAACCTCAAAAATGACTGCACAATGATCTGATTAGCTTAATTGCCAAGGAGGGCATAAAACAGGAAGACACACCAGTCTTAGAAGAAATCATGTGTAAGGTTCAGAGAGAAGAGGATTTAGAGTTGTTTTGTTTGGGTCAAGGGCAGAACTAGTAGAAACACAGGACTAGTAGTAACAGGTGTAAGTTAGAGAGAGACAAATTTCCTTTTAGAGCGGTCCAACAACAAAAAGGGCCATTTCAGGGGGTAGTTGGCTCCCCTTCAGAAGTCTTCAAGCAAAAGCTGGCTATTTATTGGGTATACTGCTCTGGGAATTTTTTTTTTTTCTGTTGAACTAGATGACCACCCAGAGCCCAATGGAAATTCTGTGAACCTATGATTCTCTGAAGGAAAATAGCTCTTCCAGATGCTAGTATGCAGATGATACTGTGTCAACTACATTAAATCCAAGTCCCTCAATGAGATCTGTGATTATTGCAGAGATTCAGCCTAACAACCTATGCAAAAAAAAACCCCTAAATGTATGAAAAAGCCCTATTGCTGTTGCATGACCAGCCCATTGAATTATGCATTTATGCATACATGTCAGTGCATTTATTTATGCATATGATTTATATGACAAAGGCCCTAAGGATGGACTATGAACTGGGCCCAGATTTGAATAGGAGGAAGAATTTTGAGATTGCATTTGGAAAATTACATAATGCTTTTGATGACAAGCTGCTCCCCAGTACAAAGACCTATTTATCCGAGAGAGAGAGAGAGAGAGAGAGAGAGAGAGAGAGAGAGAGAGAGAGTGAGAGAGAGAGAGTGAGAGAGAGAGAGTGTTATCTTTTGTTTTTACTTCACCATCATTTTTCAATCTGTCCCACTCCCTGCCCCATCTTAGAATCATCCTTTATAACAGAACTCTATTAGGGGTGCAGGGTTGTGGGCAGAATTCAACAAAACTAAGTAGTACAATGAAAAGATCTGACATTATGTGTAATGCTCCACACCCTCAGTCTCCCATTGCCAAGAAACGTGGAGAGTGGCTTTCTAATATATCTCGTCTTTGGGGTGAAGCTCGGTCATTATAATTTTGCAACATTATTTCAATTATTTGGTTGCTGTGGGCCTTTCCTTTTACTTTGTTGTGGTCATTACGTAATTGCTGTGGTCTGCTTACTTCTCTTTGCATCCATTCACGTCTTCCCGTGCTTTTCTGTGTTCATCGACCATTGTTTCTTATAGCAGAATAATAATATATTGTATTTATTTACCACACTGTACTTAGACACTCTCCAATCAATGGGCATCGACTTTGTTTGAAGAGACCTATCTTTCCCATGGAAGCACTCCCCTGGTGATGCTATATGGTCACAAATCCTGGAATGCCACAGAAGTTGCCACTGACTTGAAGAGCAGTGGAGGCAGAAAAGCTTGCCTCCAAAGATAGCCTGTGTGCCCAAAGTGGTATGATGGAGATCGTCAAGGACACATGACCAAAAAAGGATGTGAACCAGTCAGGGGCTAAAAGCAGAGTATTAACAGGCAGAAAATTTGAATTCTCCCTTGGTACCCAAGAAATAAAAAAAAGGCCTTAAGGCCTCCACACATTGGATGGATCCTATGTGGAGGATTTATGGAAGAACAGACACAAAACCTGCAGAGAATAAGAATTACCTGTTAGACGTAACAATTTGGGAGCCATTTGCTTGGAGGCAGTAATTGAAACCATGAATGGAAGAGATCACCAAAGGGAGAAGTACAGAGAAGGCCCACAGTAAGAACTTGTGGGAACACCATTTTTTTTTATTGTTCATCCTTCATTCTCAAAGAGGACCAATGACATCATGAGGGTAATGTCCTGACTTGCTAGTGAATTAAGTCTGAGGGAGAGCTGTGCAAAGTAATCATCCTCATTCTCTCCTCCAGTCATGGGAGCCCAGTGGCAAGACAAGAGCTAAGATGACTGATGATGGTCCTGGATGCAGTGGATGACACCGGTCTTTTAAAATTCAGGTCTTTCCCAGGTCTGTTTGTCTGAGGTAAAGCCCCTTCGATGACCAAGGTCTAAGTAAGAATTCTGGAAACACCCACATTTCAGGGGCAACAATACAGAGATCCACTTAGAGGACAAGTCTTAAAGGTAGACAACTGCACGAGTGCGTGTAGCTCATGGAAACAAAGGAGGACTGAATGGTCACCAAGCCACTAAGGAGTCAAGGATAAAGGCAGAAAGGCTAACAGATTAAGCAATGGGGCAATGGATGAATTGTTTTCAAATGAGTAATGAGGACACAAGTCTGACGGCAAACAAGGCTCTGTCCCATTTTCTCAAATATCCTAAAGTTATCCTAAAGATAATCATCTCAACCTGCTTCCCACATATTTCCACATTCTCTGTGCAACTTGATATTTTTAGAAATCTACATTAAGAATTAGTTTGGAATAACTCAACAAAATCTGAGCTAGGAAGGTTCTCAAAAATCATCTACTCCACATATTTCTAGTTTCAATGTGTCAAGATCTATCAAGCAGATTCCTTGTAACAACCTTGTAAGGCAGGGAATGTGTGTGTTATAGTCCCCATTTGGCAGATGGGGAAATTAAGTTTCACAGAGGTTGCGACTTCCCCAGGGTCACAGAGCTACTCGGTGTTAAGACTAGCAGGGACTCAAACCAGTCCTATTTGAAGTCCCATGATTTTCCCACATCATCAGACTACCTTAACCTCGATTCCTGGGAAAACAACAAAAGCAGTGGTAATATGAGGCTCTCTTCATCTAAAAATTAGGGTTCTTTCCCTCCTTCCATCATGACTTCAGTTTAGACCAAGCAGAACTCCACGACCATAAGAAATGAAAAGTTCTCAAGAGAACTTAAAAGAAAAGCACTGGTCCCAGAACTCTTGAATTTGTTTTGCCCAAATTTCGTATGTATCATCTCCTGGCCTCAGACAATAATGATGATCACAATGAGACTGGCAGCTAAGAGCCAGGCAAGGGCGTGCCAAAGGAGGCATCAGGCTCAGGCTGGCCTGCTTCGAAGCCTCTAGCACCATCAGACAGACGGAGCTAAGGAGAAGCCAGTCAGCGTTACTGGACACATGTCCTCTGACTGGCGTTCTCTATAGACTTCACAGGCAATTCAGCTGTCTTCCCTGAACTGCCAAGTGGGACTTAAAGGAACAGGCGCCGTCCATACTTTTACTATAGAAAACAAACATCTCAGGTTGCTGCTGCTCCTGCCCTTCTTCGTTCTCCACCATTTCAAACAGCTTCTGTGCATTTCTCACATAGTCATTCTGTGGATCCCATATTCCCAAGAATTAAAGAATGAGGTCCAGGTCTTCCCTCATCTCTCCTATTTATATATGAATGGAAGAGAAACAGACAGACAATGGGACTTTTTAAAAATTATTTAATTTAGTTGTTTTCTTGGAAAAAAGCAATAATGCAAAAAACCCAAAAATATAATTATAGTTTTGTTTTGTTTTCAATCTGCCTTTATTCCACCTCTAGGACTTGAAGCCTCTCCCACTGGCAGGAATCGGATTCTGATTCGGTACCAAACCTAGAAATAGAACGTAGGCAGTAAGGGAAGAGAAGGTAGGCCACGGGGCTGATGGAGCTGAGGACTGCCCACTCTGAAGCCTTTTGCCTAATTCACTTACTTGATCCATCGCCTATATATTAGCCTTTCCCTGTTCTGGGAATGGGGCATGTTGGAGGAAGTCCCCCAATCATCCTTGTGTCATGCCCGTCAAAGCTGGGAAGGAAGCACGGGAAATCCTTGAGCCGGCATGAATTCCATTTCAATGGAGTGGTGGTTTCCTCTGGAACGACCCAGACCTACACCACACACCGTTCTCCCCAGCCCTCCCCAGCCAATACCCCCGCTGGCTGAGGCTCATTTGTTAAGGAACAAAATCAAAAACACCAACAAAAGCATACAAGGAAGGCACCTCAGTGTGACCCTCAACCAGAGGTGGGTGGTGTTGGGTGGGGGAGGGATGAGAAAGGCTGTGGAAGGTTTTCTGGGGGAGACTAAGGACACAAAATAAACCAGCAGGGAAGGAAGGCAAGAGAAAACAGTGGCAGATCTCTCACACCCCCATGGAGCAATTTGGGGAGCGACTAGAAGTCGCTCTTGGGGCCTCACAGCTGCAGAACTCCCAAGCAAGGGAAGGAGGGGTGAAGGATTTCAATTTTGAGAGCAGGGCAATAAGGGTATTTACCAGTGTTCAGAGATTATGGATACCTCATGAGATGAGCCATGAGAACCTTCCTCTGTTCCCTAACAGCCCACACATGATCCTGACCAGCTTTGAAATCTTCCTGCCTCATCTGAGGTGTAAAAATAGAACATGAAATCTACATCAATATATGCTCAATGCAAAGAGTCCCAGAGTGGGGTGGATTAAAAAAAAAAGATTCTTAATGAAAGGGAGGAAAATCAAAACAGAAAAATTAGATTTTTCTCTACATATATATAATATACACATATTCAACAAATTATTCAAGAGGTGGCTCCAGTCCATGGGGCTTGAGACAGATGGTGGAAAGACTTATTCCAGAGATCATTTACTCCCTGTCTCTCTCATTCCAAAATATGTCAGAAAAGAGGCAGAGTTCTGCTCCACACCGGAACACAGACCCCGTGGCGACCTAGCGCCAGGAGAGAAAGCTGAAGCACAGAAGGCAATTGGGGTAGGGGTGAGGAGTGATACAGAGAGCCGAATGGCTGGAAGTCTTGCTCTGGCCCTTCTTATCTTCTCAGGAAAAGTTCTCAGCTGCAGAAGTCCAAGCAGCCCCCAAAGTTACAAGTACTATCATCCTTGAGGATCAGCCCCCTCCTACCGATGGCTGAAGTGGCAGCCAGCTGCTATGTAGCCCAAAAGACGGAGAGCAGTCAAGGGGAGTTCTACGTGGATGAAGACAAACTCCCAACAATAAAAGGAGCTTTGGTGGCTGCCCCCATCCTACATAGAAGTAAACTCTTCCACTAGGTAATTTCATCTGACAGCAGTCAGCTCCTGGGTATGCACGGCATGCCCCCTGGCCCTCTAAAACTTAGCCTGCCTTGGAGAACTCTTATTAAAAAGAGGCACCAGAGCCCCAAGTACAGTCATTACAGATGTCGCCCACAGAGATTCTCACTTGCATTTTTTAAAAAAGAAGCTTCTAATATCAGAGCTTGCTCTTGGCAGCACCAAGATACCTCTAATCCGCGCCCTCACCTCACATGTCTCTTGGCTGAGTGAGATACTGTTGCTAGGATGGGACTAGAGGTGGCATAATCTTAAATGGGGTAAGAGGGAGGAGGAAGAGTCTAAGACAGAGACACCTGCAGGTACGAATAATGCTAACCCCCAGCTCCCCAACCTCTCCCTTACAAACACAGGGCTCTAGTATGTCAATGCCGGGTTCAATCAGGTAAGGCATCGAAGCCAATCAATCACCACCCCCAGGGCTTCTGCTCCTGGTGATTGCTTTGGAACAAATGATTGGTGAAGAAAGACGACCTTGAGGAAAGCACTAGGTAAGGAAGTCAGAGCGGCTGGCTTTCTCTCCCAACCTTCGTCCTCCTCTGATCCCTCTGCTCCTCCTCCCTCTTGTTCCTGTAGTTTCAGAAAATGTCTGGGCATGAGCTCCAGTCCTGTTTTTCTTTACTTTCCCAGTATCCTCCTCTATAAATATGGGTTAACTCCTTGGTAACAGGGTCCTTTTTCCTCTCAAACCACAGGGCCTTGTAAGGGTCATATGGAGTGCCTACAAAGAGAGAGAACGAGAAGGAATCAGTGGGGCACTGAGCCGCGCTATCTCCGCTGCAGAGATGCAGTGGCAGCTCTTCTCACCGTCCTCAGTGGCTTTCGCAGCCTCGGCTTCCCTCCTCTTTCTGGAAAGACGCTGCTTCTCCTCCAGACGCTGCTTCTCCGCGTTGGCCTCATCCCAGCGTCCATTCTCCATCAGTCTCTGGTCGGGCCTCAGGCGGCTGTCCGTGGGGGCCGTGCCACTCTCCCATGCATTGAGAGTTAGGGCAAGTTCAGAGAAGTAGTACATGTTCTCTGCATTCTTCCTAGAGTGAAAGACCAGGGGACATCAGAGGCAAGACTCCATCAGAGAGAGGTAAGGGCACTGCAGAAAGGCCAAGCGAGCAAGGTGAAAGATTCCAGGACTGAGTCATGCCCTTCCAAAGATGAGAATACAAGTGTCGCCTGGCCTAGTCTCTCTGAGTCATACCGGACTCTTCAAGGCTTCTGTGGGAAGCTCTGCTGAGGCACCCAAACTTCCAGGAGTCTATCATGAGATGACTTTCTCCACAGCCCTTCTCTATAATTCCAACCCCAAAATAACACTCAATGTTTACAGGACTTAAGACTGGTGGCACATTTGTCCTGAACTGTCTCCAGTTTTCCTGGTTAGAGCCACTGTCTTAAAATTTGACCAGCTGTGCTCATAACCTCACCCTAGACTACCGAGGCAATTCTGGCTCTCAAGTCTTCTCTGCCCGGGGGCAATCATGGACCAGGTGTTAGGTGACTCCCTCCTAGAGATGGCTTTGAAAATTCTGTCCCCACACCATCACACAGTGCTTTTCCCCTCCCCAAACCAGCACAGCCTCTGAACTGATTTCAGAAAGCATCAACCTTATATGAGTAGTAAAGGTAGCCAAGAGATTATGAGGAGATTTTGTTTTCTTTTAGACAAATTCAAATAAAATGAAAACTTTTTTTGTAATCTCCCATTTGACTTGCTCAGCCCCTTTCCTTTGACAATGAAGGGGGAAAGTAGGCCAGAAAGCTGTGCCTATTCCTCTCAGCTCAGTGCCTCATCGGCCAGGATAGCACTTAGGTAGCATACTCACGGCAGTGGGTTCCTCTTCCAGAGCATGACCCTGCTTTCCTCCAATTCGTGGCTTCTTTGCCGACTGTCACCCCCATTATCCCCATTACTGGGGAGAACTTTGAAATAATCCATTTTCTCATCCCAGGTTCCCAGAAGGGCAAAGTGTACTTTTCCTGATGGGTCCGTGACTTCCCCTGTAACCTACCAGGATGCAAAATAGGGGCACAGAGTAGTCACTTTTGGGTTCAATTACTGATTTTTTTCTAAATTCATATGGAAGAACAGCCACAGGACCATTATAATAAATTGCACAGACCCATCCAAGTTATTCTATAACACAGAATATGACTAGAAATCACTGGGCCACAACCACCTCAGTTACAATCAAATTAAATGTGGCTTGGCAAATTTTTTATCATACAAAGATCTTTCACTATAATGGTATTTAATTCAACAAACATCAAATTAAGCACCTACCATATACTGCAAAGATTTTTCTCCCCATGTGACTATTCCTCTGAGTTTACAGCTACCCTGATTTTGTTTGTGCGAAAGCTTTTCAATTTCACAGAGTAAAAATTACCTTTAACTTTCTGTGACCACTGCATTTGACTCTTAACCATAATTGAAAAAAGTAACTGATCTGCTTCTCTTATTTATTTTTATGCTATGACTTTTGGGCTCAAGTCCATAAGCTCATTTTGAGCTTATTCAGTAGAAGATGTTAGTATAGCCTAATTTCTACCCAACTGTTTTCCGGTTTTCTCAGCTCTTGTTCAAAAGGGAGGTTCTTTGCCAAGTGATTTACGTTTTCAGGTTGATCCAACCCTGTTATTGAGTTCAACTATATCTGATTCCTCCCCATCTAGTCTGTTCCACAGATTATCTACTTTTTCATTTTTCCACCAGTACCAAACAGTTTTGATGATTATTGCTTTATAGTACTAAAACGTGGAAAAGTCACTGCTCTTTCATTCCAATTCTCCCCTCCTCTCCTACCATTTCTCTTTAAATTCTAGACCAGGGAATTCTCCCCTTTTTTGTGCTTTGTTTGGACCCCTTAGGCATCTTGGGAAGCTTATGGACCTGCTCTCAGAATCATGCTGTTATGCATAAAATAATATATATAGGATTACAAAGGAAACCAATTATACTGGAAAACAGTTATTAAAACAAATTTAAGTTCATACATCCTAGGTTAAGAATTCCTTGCTTTTGATCCTCCAAATGAAATTTTGTATCACTTAATGTAGCTCAGATCTACCATATGTGAAATATTCTGGCTAGCTGCCAAGGATATAAAGATAAATAGAGCCCAGACCTCACAAAGACTTCACCCCAGATCTCACAAACTTGCACTGTTGGGGATTGGACTGTCAATATGATCTATGCATGGGATAGGTCAGTGCAGCATGACAGACTGAGAAGGGGGGGAATCACTTCAGTGGGGAGGGGGGGAAGGGCAGATCGTGTGCAAGGGAGTTAGAGCAGGTATCACGGAAGAAGAACAAACATTTCATCAGTATATATGGCACAGCGGACTGAGGAAAAGGGGAGAATTCTGTTTCAGTTCAGCCCTGAGGGCAGGTGTGCAGAAAAGCACCAACCACGAGCGAAGGCAACACACAAGCCAAGCCAAGGAGCACTGATTAAGCACAGGGCCCGGAGGTAAGTGCGAAAGCTAACCAAAACACACACGCACAAAGTCCCTTCCCTCCAGCTTACATCCGAATAAGACAAGCAAGCAGAAAGTCCTGCTTTGCTGGAGTGCAGACAGCGGAAAGCGGAGCACCACAAAACACATTTGGAGACGCATGCTGAAATTTCAGCCAGACTGTGCGGGAATGAAAACAGAAGGTTAAGGAGTCTGCATTTTCTTCCACAGTCAGTGGGAAGCAACAGAAACGTTTTCAACAAAGAGCACCAACACTGGGCCTGCACATTAGGAAGATTAATCTGACAGCTGTGCAGAGGATGGATTGGAGACAGGTAACACTGGAGACCAAGTCATTCCAAACATTTGGGGGGAGTCAGGAAGGGCAGAGAGCAGATGTCTGAAAGAGGTATTTAAGAAGTGAAATGACAGAACTCAAGTGACTGGATGTGAGGCGGGAGAGAAAAGAGCCAAAGAGGACCAAGGTTCTGACTCTGGATGACTGGGAAGAACATGCCCTCTAAAGAAACAGGTAACCTGGGCTGGAGGGCTCAAGGGGACCTCCTGGTGGAGTTATTCAGCAGACATTTAGAAACAGGGAGACATTAAATCAGAGCAAGAAAGAAGAAATTACCTGTCAGACTGATGGATACAGAAAGAGCTCATGACCAGACGAGGACAGAGAGATCATAGGAGGTGAAACAAACAACTGTGACTACATGAAATTTTAAAACTTTTGCACAAATGAATCCCATGCAACTGAGAAGGGAAGAAGTTAATTGAGAAAAATCTTTGCAACAAGTTTCTCTGATAGAGGTCTCAATATACAAGGAACTGATTTTAGATATTTCCTTTTTTTTAAAGGCAATTGGGGTTAAGTGACTAGCCCAGGGTCATACGGCTAGTAAGTGTTAAGTGTTTGGTCTGAGGCTGGCTTTGAACTCACGTCCTCTTGACTTCAGGGACAGTGCTTTATCCACTGCACCACCCAGCTGCCCCTGGAACTGATTTTAATTTAGTCAATTAGTCACTTAGTAAGCATTTATTAAGCACCTGCTATGGGCCAGGCACTGTGCTAAGTGCTAGGGTAAGAATAAAAGCCATCCTCCAACTGATAAGTGGTGAAAGGATATGAATAGGCAGTTTAGAGAGAAGAAATCCAAGCTAATAAAAGTCATACAAAAATGCTCTAAATCACTAACAACTAGAGAAACGGAAATTAAAACAACTCGGAAGTGCCTACCACTTTACAAACCCATCAGACTGACAAAGCTGACAAAACAGGAAAACAACAAACGTTGCAGATATGGGAAAATCGGTACACCCATGCACCATTAATGGAGCTGTGAAGTGGTCCAGCCATTCTAGAAAGCAATTTGGAATTCTTTCCAAAAAGCTATTCAACTGTGCATACTCTTTTACCCAGCAATACTACTACCCTAAAGAGATCAAAGAAAGAGGGAAAAGTCCCATATGCACAAAAATATTTAGAGCAGTTCTTTCTGTGTTGGCAAGAATCAAAAATTAAAGGGGTATCCATCAACTGGGAATGGCTGAATAAATTATGGTATATGAAGACATGACCTCAGAGAAAACTAGAAAGACTTGTATGAACTGATATAGAGTGAAGTGAGTAAAACCAGGACAATTTATACTATAACAACACCATTGTAAATATAAGCAATTACGAAGAACTCAAGAATTCCAGTGGACACAATCATGATTCCAGAGGTCCAGTGATTAAGAAATCTACCCAACTGCAGATACTGGTAATGGACTATTATGTAGAATGAGATGCACGCTATCAGACATAGTCTATTTCAGAATTTGTTTTGCCTGTCACAAAGATTTTGTTTTTCTTTTTTTTCTTTTGCCCTTCATGTGGGGCTGTGGAGGGTAAAAATGAGAAAAAAAATGCTTGATAAATGAAAATAAAATTTAATTGAAAAAGAAAAAATGGGGAACAGTAGTTCAGGAGAGGAAATCAGGGCCCAAGATGTTGTTAGGGCCAGCCAGATATACACATACGGAGGTCATTATCTATACAGACATGCTGCCTGAGACCAGAGGACTGGACAAGCTTTCTAAGAGACCGAGAATTCAGAAATATAAGAGTCAGTCAACTAGTACTTGGTAAGTGCCTACTACGTGCCAGGCATTGCGTTAAGTGCTGGGGATACAAATATCGGGAGGAAAAAGTCCCTGCCCACCATACAGAAAAGGAAGCTGAAAGGGGAAGGAGATGAGAAGGCACCCAGGAGAGCACCCAAGTAGGTAACGGAGTGACGGCTGGCCTGGGAGCACTCTTCAAATGGAAGCTTTGGGAGTTCTCTGCTCTGTCCTCTAGCCCTCCAATCTGAGGGCCAAAGGCAAATCCCAAAAGAAACAAGGATCAGTAACGTCAAGTCCTACAAATAAAAACTGAGAAGAAGCTATTGGCTTTGTCAAATTAAGAGGCCAACGGTGACCTTGAAAAGAACAGTTTCAGTACAGAAAGAACACCTGGTTGGGGAGAAAGACATGGAAGGGTAAATGATCAATTCAGAAGCTTCCAGAAGAGACAGGAAGACAAGAGATCAAAGGCACAGCTGAAAAGGCTATCCACACACAGGAGCTCATGGAATACTTCAGATTCTCACTTCTCTTACCTTCCGGGCCACATCTCGGGAAAAGTAGCTGTAAGGAACAAACTTGAGATTGCACTTGTCTCCTGTCTTGTGATTCACAATGTCGATCTCGCCAGACTATGAAGGGGGAGAAATAAGGGTTGGTTTTACTGAGATTCAGGTACTTGGGACACATGTCAAATATCAAATTTGATTACCACTCATTCTTCAACCTGCACATTCCATAACGAATCAGCTACCGTTTCCCACTTAAGTCACTTTAGAGATAAGACCTTTATACAGCAGGGATATATGGGAAACACACATCCTATAATGGCTAGCCATAGCTTACAGGTGACATAATGTAGCCTGTAGCAAAATTTCCAGATTAAAGTGGTAACTGAGGTTTCTAAGCTTGTTTTCCCAACAACGACACTTCATAGCCTCCCCTGCCACACATACTCCCCATTCTCCTTCCCCTCCAGCCCTGTCCTGCTAGATTCTTTACTGATCCCAGCAGACATCTTATTCATTTACCACCTTCATAGACTGTGCTCACTCAGACCCTATCAACTCACCCAAATCCTACCCATTTCAGGCCAAGCTTGAGGAAACTGCTCTTTCTTCCAAGAAGCCTTCCCTAACCATTCCAACCCACAATAAAGTCTCTCTCTTTTGGACTTTCCACATGGCCCCGAATCACATATTGCCTCATAGCATTTCTTGTACAGATAGCTTACATTTTCATTTAACTTTCATGCCTATGTAGCTTGTCTCAGCCAAACTATACACTTACCAAGAAGAAGACTCATGTTTCATATACCTTTGCACTCCTGGTCTGTGTCTAGCACACTGTATACTTTCAATAAATATTTGCTTAATGAATGAATTTTATAACAGAGTTCTAATGTAGTCTTCAGCATGCACATACTAGGGTTAGACCTGAAAGGACTTTAAAGATCATGCTAGTCTGAACCTCTTGTTTTTACAGAGAAGTAAACAAGAGACTGAGAAGGGTCAAGTGATTTGTCCAAGGTCACACAGCTAGTTAGTGATGGAATCAAAATTCAAACCCAGGGTTTCTCCCTCCTAATTCTGAGGTGTGTTCCATTTATTACCCATGTCAGTAGTAAGCAATGCTTTTTATTTATTTTGCCAGTTATGAGAGGTTAACTAATAGAAACCGTGTAGGCCAATTCCATTTACCTTTCATATTTCTCTGCAAAGCTGCACCTAAGTAGAAGGCCTCTAAACATTAGAGACCCTGTGGGCACCTTAGCTTACCTGATCTATCCACAATTTGCCCACAATAATGTTGTGCACTGTTGTGGTGACTTTTTTCCAAGTGTAGTGATGACCAGTGGCATGGAAGATACAATGGATGCTACCTGGAGGGAGGCGGAGGCACAGATTACTATCCAAATATTAGACAATTGGCATGATACTGTCATACATAGGTAATCTGATCATTTTCCAGCCTTCGACAAGTTAATTTGTGCTTATTTGTTCTTTAAGAGAGTGCTATTGTCTTGTGGGCACCTATGATGAATTTTGTCTAGCAACCATGCAAATAGGAGCTCCATGAGAAATGCATAGTAGATACTGGTTAACTGAATGAAATGCAATCTGCTGAAATATCTTTTGATAATCTATATATCTTGACCGAAAGCTATTCGCAAGAGCAAAAATAGAAATTAAAGAAAGGATCCTAACTTTTTTAAAACAACCTTGCCTCTAGATAGACATTTCTGCTCTTGAATGTCAAAGGTACCAAAAAGGGTCAGATGAAATCTAACAGATCAAGAAGTCAGTGTATAACAACAGAAAGAGCAGAAGACTGCTAGACAACAGATTTCTAATTCTAGCCCTGCCACAATTAGTGGTGTTATGACCACGAACACATCATGTCATCCCTTTATCACCATCTCCTCCTTCTCCTCCTCTTCTGGACTTCATAACGCGTAGCTTTTCTAGCCAAGAGGGACCTTTGAGATACTCTGATCCACCTTTCACCAAATAACACACAGAACCCCAGAGGGAAAAGGGATTGCTCTGGTCACACAACCAGTTAATGGAAGGCACAGATCTAAAACCAAAGTTGTCTGACTTCCTTAGAAATTTATTTTGGAATGTTACAAAAAGTTGGGAGCTGGACAGAGCCATGAACAGTGAAGACTTCGGACTTAGACTTGCTGGCTTTGGCACACTACTGCCATCTGGCGGCAACGTAGCTAAATTACAGGGGCAGCTCTAGGGTGGTGGTGTTTATTGTTCAGTCATTTTCAGTTGTGTCTGACTCTTCCTGACCCCATTTGGGGTTTTCTTTGCCAAGATACTGGAGAGGTTTGCCATTTCCTTCTCCATCTCATTTTACAGATGAGGAACTAAGGCAAACAGGGTTAAGTGACTTGCCCAAAGATCACACAGCTAATAAGTATCTGAGGCCAGATTTGAACTCAAGAAGATGAGCCTTCCTGCCTCCAGGCCTGGTACTCTATCCACTGTGCCAATTAGCTGCCCCAGTCCTAAAGTACAAGGTCTCAAAACTAAATTCATAGTTTGATAGATTTAAGAGTTGAAGGGGACCTTTGGTATCCTCTACTTCAACCCCCTCATTTTATTGACATTCATTTTTTAAAAATTTTGAGTTCCAAATTTCTCTCCCACCCTGCCTACCCCTCCACCACCCAGTAAGGGATGGCAAGAAGGCAAGGGATATAAAATCAATTCTACGTGTGAGATCATGCAAAACATTTCCATATCACTGTTTCAAAAAAAAAAAGCAAGAAAAATAAGGCAAAAAATGTTTCAATCTGCACTTATAGTTCATTTCTCACTATGGAGGTAGATACCATTTTTAATCATGGGTCCTTTGGAATTGTCTTCAGTGACTGTCTTGATCAGAGTAGCTAAGTCTTTCCCATCATTATAGTATTTGTTATGATGTACAATATTTTCCTGGTTCTGCTCACTTTACTTTGCATCAGTTCGTATTAAGTCTTCCCTAGTGTTTCCAAAACCACCCCCCTCGTCAGTTCTTACAGAGCAACAGTATTCCATCACAATCATATACTACTTGTTCAGCCATTCTCCAACTGATGGGCATACTTCCAATTTCCAATTCTTTGCAACCACTAAAAGAGCTTCTATAGATATTTTTGCACAAACAGGTTCTTTTCTTTTTTTTGATCCTTTGGGGTACAGACCTAGTAGTGGTATTGCTGGGTCAAATGGTACACACACATTCATAGCCCTTTGGGCACAGTTCCAAATTGTTGGATGAGAATGGTTGAATGAGCTTACAACCCCACATTACTGTCCCTATTTTTCCACATCACTTCCAGAATTTATCATTTTCTTGTTCTGTCACATTCGCCAATCTGATAGTTGTAAGGGTACCTCGAAGTTGCTTTAATTTGCATTTCGCTAATCAATAGTGATTTATAGCACTTTTTCATGTGACCATAGATAGCTTTGATTTCTTTATTGGAGAACTGCCTGTTCACATCCCTTGACTACTTATCAGTTGGGAATAGCTCTTCTTTTTATAATTTGACTCAGTTCTCTATATATTTGGGAAATGAGATCTTTATCAGAGAAACTTGCTATAAATCCTCTCCCCCTCCCCCATTTCCTATTTTCCTTCTAATTTCGACTACATTGGTTTTGTTTGTGCAATAACTTTTTAATTTCATGTAATCAAAATTATTCATTTTACTTCCCATGATCTTCACTATCTCTTGTTTGGTCCCAAATTCTTCCTTATCCATAGGTCTAAAAGGTAAAATTGTCAATGCTCCCTGATTTGCTTATTTTATTTCATCCTTTATTTCTAAATCATTTACCCATGTTAGCCTTACTTTGGCATACCAACCCTTCATTTTAAACATGAGGAAAATGAGGCCTAGAGATGGTGAGTGGTTTGCCCAAGGCCACATGGATATTAAATTATGAAGTGATAGAGCTGGGATCTGAATGCAGGTTCTCTGACTCCAATTTGGGGAAGTGAAAACTTTATCACAACAATTGTCCTCTTGAAATGTCACAGTCGATAAGTATTTATTAAGCACCTACTATGTGCCAGGCACTGTGCTAAATTGTGGGGACACAAAGAAAGGTAAAAGACAGTCCCCATTTTCAACAAACTCACAATCTAATAGACATGGGAAAGAGAATCCTCATTTGAATCCAGATTCTCATTAGAAAATAAAATAAAATTTAGTTTAAAAAACAAAACAAAACAAAACGAAAGATATACATCTTGATCTCCAGGTTCGTGCATCTCAACTCCCAAATACCTTCATTCTACCCTAGCTACATGTAAAGAGCTGTTTTCATCAGTTTCCATGAGATTAATGATCATTTCTATTCAAATTATTCCCAAATCAATACATCCGGCCCTCAACTCACTCCTGATCTAGAGACCCATACCAACAACTCCCTGCTGGGCATTTCCACTTGGAGATTCCATATTCAACTCAAGTTCAACATGTCCAAAACCAGCCCTCCTTATCACCCTCTCTAAAACTGCCCCTTCTCCAAACATCCCTCTTCCTCCCAAAGGCACCAACCAGCTTTCTAGTCACCCAGAAACACAACCTCAGAATATTTTGGTACCTTCCTTCTCCTCTACCCCTGACATCCAGTCATTTGCCAGGCATCATAAATTCAACATCCATAACACCTTTTGTATCCATCTCATTATCTCCAACTTCACTGCCATCATTCCAGTTCAGACACTTACCATCTCTTGCATGGACTATTGTGAAAACCTCCTAATGAGTCTTCCTTTGTCCTACACACAGCTGCCAAAACGAGCTTCCTAAAGCACAGATCTAGACTCCCCTCCTCAAAAATCTTCACTGGTTTCCTACTGCTCCTCAGGTAAAATGTAAACTCCTCACCCTGGCCTGTAAAGCCCTTCACAATCTGGCACCTGCCTATCTTGTGGAGTTTAATTCATAGCCTCACTTCCACACACTCCATGGCCCACCAAACATGCTTGCTTCTGGTCCTGCAAACTCACCCCTCAAGTTCTGTGCCAGTGCCCAAGCTAATCTGTCCCCCCTATTTGGGATGCTGTTCCCTCCTGAACCATAGGGCCTCGGAGAATCCTGGCCTTAGCTAGTCCCAGATTCAAGAGACCTTTTCTGGGCAACCATGTTAGTACTCTTTCTCTACTCCCTCTTACCTTCCATTTTTCATCTATTTACATGTAATACCCTGAAGTAGAATGTAAACTCCTTGGGGGCAGGAGCAATTGTTTTTCTTTTCTTTCTATTCTTGGTACCTAGCACAAGTATCTTGCATACAGCAAGCACATAATACATTTTTGGTTAATTTTAATGAAATGGTAACCTTGGAAATCTACTATTAAGTCTATGGAAAAGGAAATTTGGAGACAACAACAGCCAACCCTGCCACCATCCTCCAAGTGAAAGAATCCCAGAAGCAGACAGCAACTCTCTGAGATGGAGGAACAGGGGCTGTGGTGAGGCAGTTGCTTTCAAGTGGGCCAGGGCCTATGCCTTCTTTTCACGGTCCCTAGTAGAGAAGGGGAAGGGGTGAGGAGGAGATGTGGCTGGGTGACTAGAAAGCTGGTTGGTGCCCTTGGGAGGAAGAGGGATGTTTGGAGAAGGGGCAGTTTTAGAGAGGGTGATAAGGAGGGCTGGTTTTGGACATGTTGAACTTGAGTTGAATATGGAATCTCCAAGTAGAAATGCCCACCTTGAAGAAAAGAGAGATAAAAATATGGAGGAAGAAACGAATGGGAAAAAACTTCCCTTTATGAATAGAATTGTTGTGCTGTTAGGATCTTAGAGCCTGGGCTCTAATTAATTCTTCCAGGAACCTGGCTACATGCTACTTTATTAATTTCATAAAACTGAGCGAGCAGAGACAGCATATGCTTCCAAAAGTCCTTCTGTGGAACTCTCATGAGTAGAACAGTACTCTTAAAAATTCAGGAAGTAGTAGTGTGTAAAAAAACCCAATCATGTAGAACAACAGGGTTTTAAAAAACCTTTTTTCCATTTTCCTGAAGCATACTACAACAAGAAGAATCGCTGAAGAGACCGAAAGAAAGGAACTAAGCCTGCCTATGTATTGCAAACAACGAGCAAACTCATCTCATCTCAGAAAACAAACAGATGCCAAAGGCCAATTGTTAAGGATCCTGCTCAAGCTCATTTGGCCCTGAATCCAGAAGGTACCTATCCCTGGTTAAGCATTCAGGAAAGACCCCTATGTGGAGGCCCCCAGTAGGGAGTCATCAACTTAAAGAAGGGGTTAGGAACTCTATCAGCTTAAAGAGAAATTTTTTGCTGCTCTTTACTTTTAGGTTCAGAGCAAAGAATAGAAGGTTAGCTACCAATAAGCATTTCTAAGAAAACCCTCCATAATTTGGAAGATGCTGAGCAAAACTGAAGAGACTTAACACATTACCAAAAGAAGAAATAAAATGCATGAATTTTGGAAAATAAAAATGACCATAATATAAAAGTACTGACTGTCCTAATAATAAAAGTTGTTGTCTTTACCTAAGAAGTGGTTATATTTGGGGCAGATAAAGAATTGGCTCTCCCGGGGCAGCTAGGTGGTTCAGTGGATAGAACACCAGCCTTTGGAATCAGGAGGACCTGAGTTCAAATCTGGCCTCAGACACTTGACACTTACTAGCTGCGTGACCCTGGGCAAGTCAGTTAACCCCACTGCCTAGCAAAATTTAAATAAAATATAACATAAAATAGATTAATAATATTAAACAAAATACAAATAAATAAAATATAAAAATATTTTTATATTTATATATAAGTAAGTAACATAATAAAAACTGACTTGAGGCTTGGAGTTTAAGGTTTCTAATCTAACTTGTAACAAGCATTCTAGAGTCATTCTAGAAGCAATTATAGAGCACTTTACGATCTACAAAGTGTTTTCCATATGCTCTCTCATTTGACATGCCCCCAGAAGCAGTGTGCCTTACCAAGGGGCATGATGGACAGATATTTGCCACGGAACTTGCTGGTAATTTTGATTTCCTGTCGTAATGTCCAGCCATTTTTGGATTCAGCATGGTGTGCAGCAGCAGGAGGATGGTGGCTCACCTTGAAGAAAAGAGAGATAAAAATATGGAGGAAGAAATGAATGGGAAAAAACTTCCCCTTATGAATAGAATTGTTGTGCTGTTAGGATCTTAGAGAACATCTAATCCAACTATCATTTTACAGATGAAGGTGACACTGTGCACAGAGAGGGCAAGTACTTTGTCCAAGTTTGCACAGCTAGTTGGTAGCAGTCAAGGTAGAACCTGGGTCTCCTAATTTCTGGTCCAAGGTTCTTTGAATGAATGAAGCATTTATTAAGTTCCTTCAGTGTGCCAAGTCTGGGGATACAAACAGAAAAAATAAGACGGTCCCTGCTCTCTAGGAGCTCTGGTTCTACCAGGGGAAACAGCACACAGGGAAAGTTTCAACTGCCAGTCAGATGGAAAGGGCCCATGGTCCTTAGCATGCAGCAGCAAAGATGATAAGGACTCTTCTTTAAGGTCGGTTCTACTGATCCAATCCTATCAGTTTCTGATGTTAAACCATTTGACAGAGCCAAAGATCTTGGCGACAAGAATATCCTTTTCTGGGTCATCAGCAGTTGTGACTGCAGAACCAGCAAGAACAGCTTCCAGCCTGACAGCTGAAGGCACTGGGCTGGCAGCACTGCCACTACCGAAGCTCTGGGGCACAGGGTCCAAGGGCACATGCCACTGTCCATTCTCTCTCTCTCTCAGGGTGTTCTGCCGCCTCAGCTACGTTGCCCTACTTGCCCTGAGGTCACAGCCAGCTGGCAGTTAGCAGAGCTGGACACAGGCCTGTCCATGGGGGGTGAGGAGGGGGCTGCCACCCCCAGGGTTCCTGCACCCATCTGCTGTAGCTGGTGGCTTTCTAGCAGTAGTTGCTTGTACTGATGAAGAAGGTGGCCTCTTCTCAACAGGGATTTCTACCTTCAATGTTGCCTGCTGGAGGGATAAGAGGGAGACTGGACTGGAAGCAAGTCCAGTGGGCTGAAGGGTACTGACTCTTGGTTTCATGGTCTGGGAGGTTTAGATGGCAGACAAGGCAGCGGTGGCCATTTGAATTGACCAGCAATGCTGTTCCCTGTCTCCCTCAGGGGACCTTGCTGCCCCAGCTAGGAGGGTCTGCCTGGCCTGCCCAGGGACACTCTATCAGGTTGCCAAAAGGCAATACTCAAAACTATTCTGGATGCTTATAAGCCCAGGAGAGCAAATAGACCCACGAGACAGTCAATGATCACATCTTAAAGGGAAGAATAAAATACCAGGATACAACGGGTATTTCTGAAAGTCTGGGACACAAGAAGGCAAGCCATTCCACTACCCATGAAGGTTTTCTCCTCCACGTAAAGAGGCTTCCATAAGGGCCCCAACATCCTGCACCATCTCTGGAAGGGCCCTTACCTGTTCACAGAGGGAGCGATAACCATTCTCCTCAAGTCGGTCCAGCTCAAAGGTCTCCCCCAGGAGTGGGTTGAATGGCTTGCTAGTACGGAAGACAGTAGTGGAGTAGGAGGACACGGTGAAAGCCGCCACATAACACAGCTGTTCAAGGGAGTTCTCACATTTTGCAGCTCGGTCTAACAGTTCATGATACTCTAAATCTTCAGTGAGGCGCTGGAGCATGGACAGAGGCTCATTAAAGTTCACCTGACAGGAAAAGAAGAAAAATGCCAAATGTGTTCAACACATTCACAACAGCCTATTCCTAAGGCAATAAAATACATCTACTGGGAAGTTACTCCTTCCTAAACTAGGAAATGGAGATACCAAGAGGTGCAGAGCTTTGGTCAAAGTGACAGAGCACATTAGTGGAGGAGCACAGGCCTTTCAGCTGGAGCTTCATTTCCAAGATCAGCCTCCCAAATCAATGCCTCCCCTCTCCTGGGGAGGGAACCAGAACTCACAGCAGGTGGGTAGTGAAGAATACTTTGACATGAACACACCTGCAGAGCTTGGGAAGAAGGTGGCTTTTTTCAAGCACCTAAATGTAAAGGAGACTTAGTTTTAGCTACAGGAAGTTCCCAACTTACAAAGGGACCTCTGAAATTGTTTCTGCAGCTTTAAAATAGCTGGCTATTTTTTCATAGAAACAATATTAGAAATGGTGCTTAGGTTTCCAGGATGGCCCACTGAAGTCTATTTAGCTCATGTGACTAAGCTATATAGTACCAGCCTAAGCTCCGAGTGCTAGAAATAAGTGATGACATGGTACACAAAGTACAAGGAAGAAGATGGTTTCTGGCCAAGGCCAGCTCTGGGCAAAACTTCAAAGTGGGATTTCCCTTGGATACCCTCCCATTTTTTTTTCTGCACTTGCTCTCTCTACAGATGGCCCTCTTTCCCAGCCTCCAGCCCTTGGGCTGTACCCTACCACTCTCCTTCAGGGAGTCAAAGCTCCCACCTACTCCATGCCCCCAGTCCCCTTCTCCTTCCTCTGTTCCCTCCCCAATTCAGATTCCCTCACTGGAGATGATCTCAACCAGAAAGGTATAAATAAATTAATGCTAAAGTATGACTCACTGATGGCCCAATAACCCTTTTAGAATATTTGAACTTCTCAAGGTAAATGATGAACCCCAAACTCTAATTCATTGAATTCTATAAGCATTAGCAAAGCCCAGAATTTCAGGCACTGTGGATAGGGAATGGCATTTTTTTGTAGGTGGCCACTAAGCAGGTCAGTTCTGCCTGGACTCTTCTGCAGTCACAGCTTCTTCCTGTCTCCTGTCGCAGAATCCAGTCTCTAAACCTCCAAGTTTTCTCCTCTGCTTTCATGGCTATGGCACCAGAGGTTCTGGGAGTAAGGGGGGAGGAGCAAAACCAACTATTCCTAAGGAGAAATCATTTCAAAATCAAAAAAATTCCTCCATTTTCAAGGAAGGATTGTCCTTATTTTAGGTGATGTCACAATCTGCCCCGTTGACACTCTCTGCTGTATCATGCTTATCTGCAGAATATTGTACTTTCCCTTTTTTCCTCCCCCAAGGTAGAATGTAAGCCCTGAGGGAAAGAACCATGAGTTTCATCTCTGTATCCTCTGCATCTCACACAGTACTTGGCAGAAAGTATTCATTGAGTTGAATCGAACTGAATTACAACCAAAACAACAGTAGTCAACTTCTGATACCTCACCTTTCCGGGAGAGAATGAAAGAAGAATTCAAGTGGAGTCAAAGGCCCTGGGCTCTCACCCTCGCTCTGCTCCTTCCTACCCCATCTGTGCCAGCCAGAGGCTCACGTGGAGGAGAGAGAGGAGGTGAGAAGGTGATGTCCAGCAGCCCCTCAAGCTCTGACTCCACGATGCTGCCCGTGCAAAGGGAGCCACGCCGGGGCTGCCCGTAAGTCCAGCCTTCGTACTAGTAGACAGGAACCCCTCAGAGCTGCACCTGGCTGACAGTCACAACTACTCATATTTCTATAGCCCTGTCAACTTTACAAAGTGCTTTCTTTACACCATCCTGGTCATGTAGGTAGCACAAACATTCCTATTCCACTTTCTAGAGGAAGGAACTGAGGCTTGGAGAAATCAAGAGACTTAGCCAAGGTCACAGAGCTAGTACATGCTGCAGCTGGGATTGGCAGAGAGGTCTCTCCCAATCTCAAGTCTGAAGTCTTTCCACTGGGCCATCCGCCTGTTTAACCAGATACTGACTGACATGGGTCAAATCCCTCCCTACAAAGGCCTGTGCAAATTGCCATGATTCCAGTCTACCCACCCAATCAGAGCCTCACCGGCATTGGGATCTTGGAGAGTTCCTTTCCAATACAGTTCTTCATTATACTCCATAAATTGAGGCTGTAGTTTGGCTTATAGGGAATTCGTGTTCTTTTTTCCTTCTTTGTCTCTTCCTGCGGATGTTTATACTGAGGGCAAGATAAGATTGAGGCAATTACCCCCAAGAAACAAACAAACAAAAAGCAACCTTCTTCCCTAGCCTGGGGGGAAAAAAAAGGGGAAGTCTGTGTTCCTTCTAGCTCTTTTCAAGTGAATTGCAATGAGGAGCTCCCCTTGAAGAGCCCCACCAACAATCTTGTCCCTTCCCAAGATCTGCTAACAGCCCTTCTCACAGTGGAGAACTACCTGTTCATCCAGGCTGATGTCGCTGCTGGCCCCACTGATATTGCTGCCAGTCCGCCTAAATGAGTGGAAAAAGCACGAGAATCAGGCCAAGATTAAAACTGTCAAGTTCTCATTCTAGGCATCAGCTGTCAAAAGGAAAATGGCTGCTGGACTGCAGAGATGGGTCTGAACAAATAAGTAATAGAAATGATAGCCCTGGGCAGAGAACGGGCAGCAGCAATGCGCTTCTGTGCACAAAGCTGGCAGACAGCCCACCACTTACTGAAGGACCCGGCCCAGATCCTGGTAGCAAACATCAAGAAAAACCTCACTGCCACTGAAGCCTCTGACCTCCTGGAGGTCACATGCTCTGGAGCCCGTAGGGGTGGAGAGCCAAAATGAACTTACTTGTGGCCCAAGCTCTCAGGCATGGTGATGATCTCAGGAGCATCAAAGAATTCATTGTCATCGTCTTCGTCACTCATATCTCCTTTGCCAGAACAGATCTGATCTGCAAGGGGAAGGCCAGGCTGACACTCTTTATCTTCATTTTCCCAATATCCCGAGCATTCTTAAATGCCAACTATACACACCAAGCAGGGACAGAGAAAAATAAGGCAAAGGTAGAGGCCAGCCTGCTGGAGATCACTTCAATTCTATGTGGAGTAGAGAAACAAAGGGAATGGGGCAGCGGCACTGGACCCAAAGGGTTAGATGCTCCGTGTCCTGGTAGCAACAGATAGCCTCCAAGTGATACAAGAGGCCACCAGAGCCCTACTGCTTACCTTTCACAGAACCGGCACTGCCAGGGACACTTGCTGGCAGCACCGTGGCACCTCGGAAAGCCCTTTCCAGGTGGTTATGCTGTTTGGCCAGCTGTTCCAAGGTCTCCTCCAGGCGGATACGCTGGTCTCTTTCATACTGCAGAGACTTCTGCCACTTCTTGCTATGCGTCTGGGCCAACATCAGGAAATCCCTGCAAGCCTGGATGGCAACAGAAGGGACGCAGGTCATTGATCTGATCCCCTAAGAGCCCCACTGAGTAAATGACTCCCATGCCGAGAAACTTTACCCTGGCCAGTCATGGTGAGTGACTATTCCCTAGGATCAATGACAGCCACTTTCCCATTACAACTGAGGTCAAATCCAGGAGAAAAAAACGTTTCTGCAGGAGATTCTATTTGTTAATGCTCTTGTGGTCACAAAGACCGAAGAAATGCCAAGTGAGGAGCAAGCCTGGCCATGGGACTTCTGACATCACAAATGATGACATCTATCCCTGCAGATGGGACCTTGTGGCAAAACGGAGAAATGAAAAGATGACAAGAGTAATTCACCGAGAGAGCTGAAGGGCTAAGGCTGAAGAAGCCTGCCCCAAGCAGGGGAGAATATCTAATCAAATTCAATGAAACTGGGCAAATGGGCCCAGAGCAGATGATGCTTTGGGGCTTGCTTTAAGGAGATACTTCATTAGTTCTAGACTTGAGGGTGACCTAGATGGAGAGCTCAGTGTAAAATTCTTCATTCTCTAGCCTTCTCACTTAATACAGGGGTGAGAATCAAGTCTGAAAGTACAACTGAGAGAAAAAGAAAAGTGTGATGCTTCAAATTTCAGGATCATGAAAGGCCATCTCTTGAGATCAGGTCACCTTCACCTTGGTTAGACCAATCTGGAAGAAGAAAATGAGAGCTGAAAGGGACGTCGGAAATCAGTTAATCCAGGTCCGTTATTTTACAAAGAAACAAAATGCAAAGATTCAGAAACCTAGAAAACAGTTCTAAAGATGCAGCAAACCTATTCCTCCTCGTGATGATGTTTCTCGGTTCAATATATTTTCCCAGTTTCATTGCTACAGATATGGACATCTTAATATATAGACTAATTTATCATTAAGTAGGAAATTAAGGGCATACAGACAAGAAGCCCAATGCATTTTACAGAGCACTAAAATGAGAAGAGGTTGAGGGCAGACCAGGGAGAGAGAATAACAAGCAAAGCAGACTAGCAATGGCTACGTTCTCCCTTTCAGGCTCAACTTGGATGCCTCCACCCTCAGGAAGTCTTCCCCAACAACTTCCCTCACCCTCAACTCAAAGGAAATTTCCTCAAAATTTCCCTCCAGCCTTTTTCTGGACCTCTCCACTGACCAAACCAATCCCCACCTTGTATGATACTGGTCTGTGTCCATGTCTTGGCCCCCCTTCCCTACAATGGAACACAGAGCAAGACTGGACAGTTGTTCATCTCTGCGGTCCTAAGGCTTGGCGCAACACTTTGCTACACTGCTACTGAATGGGATGTACAAGCGCCTAACTAGGAGAGCTTAAAAATATGAATAATCATCCCCACAGAATCCAATATACAAACGGGAATGTTATTGAGAGAAAATATGAAAATTAAAGGAGGATGCTGAGCAAATTTTAAAATAAGGGAGTGCTTTCATTTCATTTAGATTTTGAATAACGTCTATGTATAGAGTAGATTTTCTCCCCTTTTACAATAATCTAACATGTAAACAACATTTTGGGGTTCATAAAGCATTTTATATATACTATTCACATGATTATGCGATGAATTAAGCTCCTACTGTACATGCAACACTGTGTTATAAATTGGGGGAGATAGAACATTCAACAACACTAAGTCCACACTCTGATGGCACTGACACACATGTCTACTGTCAGTATGGCCTAAGAGAGCGAATGCTGGCCCTGCAGCCAAGAGAAGACCTGAATTAAAATACCACCTCTGACACTAACAATGACAGGTGGCATCATTCCCATTTTATAGACGAGGAAACAGAAGCTCAGAGCTTTGGGGACTTGCCCATGATCACACAACCAATAAACATGAGAGGCAGGAAGCAACCCTCCCTCCTGTCTGACACCAAGCCTGGCACTAGGGGTGCTACCCCCCCACTGCCATGTCACTGGCACTGCTTTCTTATCATTCCTTTTAGGAAAAGCTCCAAGTGAGCTTACCTCCCATTGACCTAATCACCTACCTTTTTTATATGGGGAGACTTTGCCACAAAAGAACTAAAGGAGTCAGAGGATACCTTTCAAAAGACAGGCTGTTTTGGGGAAAGACAATGGGCCTGGGAGTCAGAAAGACTGGTTCGATAGTGGAGCCTTGCAGAAATCACCAAGGTCACCCATCTTTCTACGTTCCTTTCTCCTGAGCAGATGGCTCAAACAAATTGTTTTCTTGCTACTTTCTGAGGTTTAGAGAATTCCTACCTCGAGTTGAACAGTTATCAAACTCCTACTGTATGCACAGAAGAGTGCTAGGGACTGGGGGAAATACCAAGTCTCTGGCCTCATGGTATTTATAGTCTTGTAATCCAGAATGACAGCAGAGGGGCAGCAAAGAGAAAGGAGTTCTGGGTTTAGAGCTCCGATTCCAAATGCTGCCTCTGACACTGAGTGACCGTGGACTAAATCACTGAGCTTCTCTGAGCCCCAGTTTTCTCATCTACCTCACAGGGCTGTCATGAGGATCAGATGAACTCATGTCTGGAAAGCCCTTGTGCCCACTCTTACTATATTTATACAGTATAAAAGTATAACCAAAATGTTATGGGAGAAGGAGAAAGCCATTACTGACTAGAGATATCAAAAAAGGTTTCCTGGAGGAGGTGGCTAAGAATTGGTCTTTTAACAAGAAATTCACCAGGCCAGAAGCAAGTGGGGCGGAGGCATTCTAGCTATAAGGCTATCTAGAGTATCTGTTGGACATTTTAGAAAAAATAATATGAAAACATAAGTTACCAGCACTGTCTATTTAGTCATAAAGGGAATAACTGAAACCATTTACAGTTGCCCTACTAATAAGAAAAATTCAGGTATTTAGAAGCTAAGTTGAATAAAACTAGTTTCAAGCACATTCTTAAGAACACTCCCAAAACTGGACACAGAGACCCCATGAAATAAATGGACACACAGAATTTAGAAATGGAAGGGAACCTTGCAGTCTTTTCATCCAACTCTCCCCTTTTACAGATGAAGAAACCAAGACCTGGAGAAGGGAAGTAACTTGTGCAGTCATAGAGGTAGTAAGGAGCAGAGTGAGGATTCAGACCCAGGTCCTCTAACTGCAAATCTAGTAGTTTTTCACTATATCTCACCACATCTTCATTTCATTTAATAGGAAAAAACTCCCCAAATATTTTTCTCAAGAATGTTCCTCCTCGGGGCAGCTAGGTGGCGCAGTGGATAGAGCAACGGCCCTGGATTCAGGAGGACCTGAGTTCAAATCCGGCCACAGACACATAACACTTACTAGCTGTGTGACCCTGGGCAAGTCACTTAACCCCATTGCCTAGCCAAAACAAACAAACAAAAAAGAATGTTCCTCCTCTCCATAATCCTTCGAACACTTAAGGGAGACCGGAACAAGATATCTTCTCAGGCTGGTCGCCCTGTTTTATCTCCACGCTCATGCTGCACTTACCACGCCGTGTCTGGAGGTCCGAAAGGGATCACAGAGCTGTTCTGTTTTTGCCTAGCATTTGTCATCTAACAAAGCAGAGGAAGCATTTTCCCAACATTCCTGATCCTCCCAACAAGATCCACCTGTGACAGAAAACACTCCAACACTGCCCTCTCCCCACCTACAGAAGGGTCCCCAAAGTAGAAAAGATTTTCTTTGTAATTCTGAATTAGCTCTGAAAGCAAGTGGTGACGCCAGACAGCATCCTCAAGCCTCCTAAGGTTTCCTCTCACACTATATCTGCCAAACCAGTTCACCCCACTCTGGGCCAATATACACAAGCAAGGCAAGACCCAGGCTTTACTTGAGGGCCCCAGAGAGCCCTTCTGTCTACCTGAGCAGGACACAAAGGGTCATTTCATCTGGGCACCCTGTTCCCCTTTCAGCAACAAGCCTAGTAATTCTAGTTTCAGGAGCAGTGAAGCGAAGCCTGATGTTCTATGCCAGAGAGGCTCCAATTTCAGCGTATATACAGGAGTGTATATTCTAGTCAGGAAAAGGACCAAGGGGCCACACAGCATAAGGTTTTCACTTACATTAATCATGGCATTCGATGTGATCCTGAAGAGCGTGGCACGTTCATTGACCTGCTTGATCTTTTCGTTACTCTCAGCAGGCAATTTCAGGGATTCTAGCTCACTGAGGGATCGCTGGAGAGCCGTGCCGTGCTTGGCGATCAGGTCGTTGCAGGTGCTCAAATCCTCCACTTTGCTGGAGAGGGTCCGGAGGGTATTCTGCAGCTCTGTCTTATCAGTTTGAGAGACTGACTCTTCATCTCCTGATTCGTCTGTGGGAGAAACAAAACAGAAGAAGTGATTCCGAGCTGGGGTATGTTTTCCAGGGAACCAGCCAGGAGTACACCAACTCTGGACACAGCTAAACCTGGTGCTTATCACGTCCGGAGCTCTTACCAACTTGGAGGCCCTAGTGAGACTAGATGAGTCCCTGATTACAGGACAGGGTTGAGGAAGGGAAAGCTCAATGGCTCCTGGGCTCAGGAGTGGGTTATTAGAGCCTTTTACCTCTAGTTTGCCGGTTCCAATCCAGCCCAAGCTGACTGTTACTGAAAATCCACTACCATCTGTTGGCTGTTCGGTGGGCCCTGTATGAAATGAGTTGAGAATCTCAGTCTAATTCCTTGTGGACAAGAGTCCACATCACAAAATCCAGAAGTGGAACTAAATTACCACTCGCAAAGGCAGGCTCAGGGTCAGATATTTCAAAGGATATTCACCTGAGGTCTGGGAAACTGCATAAGGCAGTACTATGCTGACTAATTCTCTAGTATATAGGACTAGATAACGAAGTTTACTTCTAAAAGTCACTAGCCCTATTGATTATTAGCCCTAGGTGTATAACAGCTGACTTAAGTTAGCATTAAAAAGTGACGAAATCCCTCCCCAATGAGGGAGAAAGGCCCAAGTTCAAATGGAATCTTAAACATGAATTTACAACAATGTGTTGTCTTTGCTATGTGAACCCTAAAAATGGCACGGCAGTGAGGAGAAAACAGTCCTATAAACGACCACCCTAACTCAGCCTACAAGCAACCATTCAATACAGCTTGTCTAAAATCACTAATGTCCAAGTGGGGTACTTTGCCAATTTCCCTGGAGGACTGTTTAGATGGAAAATCCAGAGCATACAAATGCAATGCACCTTACAGAAACCAAGGTAGCAATGGGGCTTTCAGGCGTGGAAGTCTGCAACTACTGTTTTAAGGAAACTGCCCAGATCTGTATTATGTCCAATAATTTCAAGACTCAAATGGAGAGTCAAGTCAGAGATGCCATCAAGCCTGGGCTATGAGACTTAGGATGCAATGAATAATTAACAAATTCAGAAATCAAATCCTACAACACTGAAGTGAGAAGTGAAAATGCTACTGGATCCAGACTGTGGGTTTGTGGTAACCCAAAGATTAAGCCATTAGTCAAAGGTGTTTCTTGAACCTGTAAAGTCATATTAAAGCATCAGGTAGGCAGTATGCGTGAAAAAGAGAAAGGTTCTCGATAGAATACATCTATAAGAATATTGCTATGGGGTGATAGAAACTTGGGGGAACTGTACCTAAAAGACACAAGGGAACAGCAGGTCAACTTTAAGGTCCAATCAGCAGAGCACGATGGGGCCAAAGATGGTTCCTGTTAAACACTAACAAAGAAGTTCACCGTGTGCATCTCTCCTCCCTTTCTGCCCCCACTTACCTGACTCTGCCAGCATCTTCACAGCCTTTGCCTTAGCAAGTTCCAAGGCTGTCACCCAGCGCTGGCGCTCTACTTCTGAGCTGGCCTTCAGGTGGTAGGTCTGAGCCCCACCATTAGAGATGATGAAGTTGCAGGAGTCCTCTACGGTGATATTGGCAGTGGCCAGGTTGATGGTTCCTCGGCAGGTGTGACGCATTTCTGCCTTTGATCTACACCAATGAAACGAAAGAAAAGCCAGGTAGAATGCAGGGCTGAAAATTTATCCCTCAACACATTCCATTCCCTTTCAATACCCTAAGACATTTGAAAAGACAGCAGACCTACACATCTGCAAATTCTAGTTAGTGCTTTTTTGTTTGACTGTAAAATGCAAGGCAGCCTACGTGGGGTTGTCTTCCAAGCCTGTAAATGAGCACACTCTGCTCTTCCATACCTCTTGCTGTCAGTAGAATTACTTTTTATTGAAGTTATAATGGCTAAGTAACTTTAGTTCCTTTTCGCACTGTCCTGCAAGGCTAAGTTTAAAATGGAGCACCTTCACAAGGTGTTTTAGGAAACATTTGCTACTTATAATATGCTAGGCTTAGGAATCCACTCCCCTAGCCCATCTCTGCAACAGTTTCAATAAGGTAAGGATGAGAAAAGAAAAATTCTCACCCTGGGTTCTAATACTAGGCTCAATTCAATGATTGTTTTAGAAGGGTGTGGAAGCCTCTCAGACCTTTTGGAAATGAAGCTCAGCAAATGCAGTGTGGGGTTGCTTCTTAGCCTCAAGTAAACTTTATTTTTGGTGGTGGTAAGAAAAGAACAACCAGTCATGGTCTTCCTGGTATAGGTTCCTTCCTAAGACCCACTGACTCTCTTGATGAGAAGCCCCACAGGTCACACTATTCCTTCCTAGCTAGGTGAGATTCAGCAGACCTGCTTCTGATCATTGGTGTAAAAGTTCCCCTGAGCTCCCTGACTGGCAGGTCTATTAATAGCACTAACTTCTGGAGCTTTAAGGCACTGCTCAGCAACACAACAACCAGCAAGAGAGTGTTCACTAAATAACGAGCCTCGGTTAAATCTGTATGTTTGCAAGAGAAGCAGAAATGTGCAAGGCTCTGGAGCCCTCCCAATGCCAACTTCCCCATTCTACAGATATCCATTGATCAGGCCCTACCAATGAAAAGCAGCCTGGTTGCTAAGACTGTGCTCTGCTCTGGAGCCCTCCCAATGCCAACTTCCCCATTCTACAGATATCCATTGATCAGGCCCTACCAATGAAAAGCAGCCTGGTTGCTAAGACTGTGCTCTGTCCAACCCAGGAACACAAAGAGATCAAAATCCCTTGCAACCCCCAACTAAGTGCCCAAGCACACCTGAGCTGTCCTGAATTCCTACATACCAAAAAAGGGCACAGGGTGCACCCCTTTGCCAAGAAGGTTCTGAGGTGCTGAAAAAAGTTAGCTTACTCTGCTCAGGAGAATCCAGGTTTTTCTGACCACTCACTGCCTCCCCCTCCCACCTCCAACTATGAAAAAAAGTGAGGCTTCTCAACACACCATGCATTTCCCTTCCCTTCCCTCTACCTGATACACGAGTAACATGAACCCATGCCGCAAGCTATTTGCACTACCCCCCCCCAACCAGGCTTCAGTTACTCTATGAATAATACAGGCCAAATTCCACGCACACACAGCTGACACACAGGCTCACCCTTCCAAGGGCACCACCTGGCCCCTTCATCACATTCCTTCTTGTTGGCAATTTCCACAAGCTACTTCATGGTAATCTCTTGTACCCAGTGTGATAACCCTAAACTAACCACTTAGTATTTAGAGGACTGTGGTTTTCAAGAGCCAACCGTGAGGCCTGCTTCCATTCACTAATTCACTGGTGGGTTCAAGTGCCTGCTCCTAAATGCCTAGTGAGTAAGGAGAGACATGATGCCCATGAGATTGGGGAGTTCTTAAGGGCATATGGTATTAAGTGGTATTTCCTAACCTGAAAGCCTTTCACTTAAAAAAATATAGTTAAGATGATGGAACCCTGGGCAGAGGATTTATACCTGAGGGTCTAGAAGACTGGGCAGGTGCTTCATTTCTAAGACCTAGAATGCTGTATATAAAGACCCATTATAGTGGCTGGTGACGCAGGGGCACAAGACACAAGGGCTGAGAACCAGACTTGTAAGAACAAGGAAGGACAACACTTTAATAAGTATGGGTATAGAGAAAGTACAACTAGCCTCAAAGGGATTGCTTTAGAAGGGGCGGATGTAATTAAAAGGCAGCTTAGACACTGGCTTTAGGATTTACAAAGCACTTTCCTTACTGCTACCCTAGGAGGGAGGCAGTACAAATTTTATCATCGCCATTTTAGAGATGAGGAAACTAAAAGCTGAGGGGTTAAATGACTTGTCAAATGACCCACAGCCGATGGCTAATGGAGCTGGGATTTGAAGTCAGGTCTGTTGATTCCAAGCCCATTGGCCTCGGACCTCCACCACACTGCACAATCTGTAGGTATATATAAAGGGAAAGTAGGCATTGTGGGCATGAAAATCATAAGCCTGGCTAGAAAGCAATATTGTGATGCTGCCCCATATGTGTCTCTTGGTGCTAACTTCAGAGACTGTTGCCTGGTTGGCATGTAAGCAGAATTCTCCAGGGGACAAGGTAAATCTGTAGTATCAGTTTTCAAATGTTTTGGTCTCAGGATACCTTACTTACACTTTTGTTTAAGTGGATATCTACTCATGGTTACAGTATTAGAAATGAAAACATTTGAGTAATATTCTATTCATAGTTTTCATCTCCTGGATCCCCTGAAAGAGACTCAGAGATCCTCAATGGTCCCCACACCATTTGAGAACCACTGATCTACATCTGTATCTCAATGTGTCTTGGGTTACATTTTATCTGCTGTCAGAGTCTGCTTAGAGAATCGACGGACTTCTCTGGGACTGTGACAATAAGGCTAGTGGGATGTCCAAGACCCTAACGGACTGAATGGATTTGGCAGGAATCTGGGTCAGGAAAAAAAAATCACCACAAAAGTCAAAGCTTCCTTGTTTACATGCCATTTTTTGGAGAGAAAGGAACCGGATGAGGTGAGGCAAAATTTAAGTAAGTCTAAATTCTGCCCTCCAATCAGGCTGATATAAGAGAGAATGCAGGAAAATCTGACTGCTAGCCAGGGACTAGAAAGAAGGAGCAGAAATGCAGAGTCGGCCAGCCAGTGCTACACTTCCAACACTATAGTGTGAGCCATGAGTTTCCTGAATCCTGAAGTTGATAGTGTTTTGGAAAAGGCCCTAATTCAATTCAACAAACATTTGTTAAGCATCTCATGTGAGCCATCCTACACTAAAGAACACCTAATACCCAAGATCTGTTAATGTAATTATTACAGGCCAATAACCCATTGTCTTCTACTCAATACTTCTGTCCAATTAAACTAGCACCCAAACCTGGCCTTGGGCGGAGCTAGCTAGATTATCTGGACCCCTGCTTTTTACTAGGTTGCACTGAATATAACCAACATCAGAAAGGGGGACGTTGGGGGGAGTACTGTTAGGGATTAACTAGCCAGATTACGCATCTATATGGCAAGTACATATTTTCTGGTCTGGGGTTTGTCTGTTTGTTTTTTAGGGTAATCAGGGCCATGACTTGCTCAGGGTCACACAGCTAGTATCTGAAGTCACATTTGAACTCAGGTCCTCCTGACTCCAGGGCCAGTGCTACCTAGCTGCCCCTGGATGTGTATTGTTGGTGACCTTAATTTGTTGTGCAGGACTGCAGTGTTAGGTTTGGATTTTTAGGACTGTGGAAAAGACAAGAGTACTCTGTAAGAGAACCATCATTACTACTGGAGTACCCCCACTTAACCCTAGAACTACATAATAGAACCGATCATAAGAGAGCTTAGAGCATAAGCATTAAGAGAGCTTAGAAGACTATTGAGAACGTTGTAGAGAAGACTCCTGCTTCAAGTACTGGTTAAACTGCATGCATCTGAGGTCCCCTTGGACCCAAAGATTCTATAACTCTGACAGTTGAAGAAAAGAGTAGAGGTGAACAGGGCCCACCTTCTTGGGCTAATCATAAACCCCAAAGGAGGGGAGGTAAAATTCAAGCAAATCTTAGGAAGACAAGGAAGTCGAGGGGCAGTACTGAGGGCAGTAAGAACGTCATTTCTGATAGGAAAGGTGTTTTGTTTAAGGTGAGGTAGAGGACACATTAAAGGCTAACACAACTGAAATGAAAAGGCTGGAAAAACTAAAGTCTGAACCCTGAAGTGGGAAGGGAAGATATATGTCTACAGCCCTTTCTAGCTCTGATACTCTGCTGTTTTCTAAAGTTGTGGAGAATGTCTGAGTTTCCATAGGGTAATATTTATTGAGTTGATAAAGCTGGACTGGGTTTTAAAGAAAGAACTATGTGTTGATTATTCCTGGAAGGTCATGTGTATTTATCTGTGTGTCTGGAGCTATACAGGCAGTATGTAGTGTAAAGTGGACTGGCCTAAACGAAGTTGGGCTTTATAGAATAACAACTGCTGAATCAAACATAAGGTGAACCTGTATGTCTTCTGGGCAAGACGGATCTCCAAATGTGTATGTGTGGTGATAACTTGTTCGTGTCGATCACTCTTGTGCTTTATTTATACCCTATCCAGGGGTGTACTGGGGGTGGGACACACGATACGGGCAATAACATCTGCCTGAAGGGACCCACCTCCAGGGCAGATTTCTGTGTTCTGCAGATAAGCTGGTGCCTGTGATTACTCGTGTGATTGCCTTATTGGATGTGAGGGTATTGGAAAGAGAACACACGTCCGAGCAGAAAGTTTGGGGAATTAACATTTGCTGAGTTGACCTGAATTGAGGGCATGCTTGTGTGTTTGGCAGCTCAGCCGGTGACCGTGCTGACTGGTGCTGCTTGGCTGTCTTTTTCTGTGTCTGGCTAGGTATGAGCACTGCATCGGGTAAGGAGGGCACGGGCCAAACCCCGACCGGAAGAGTTTGTTTGGGTTTCTATAGGGCACGAGTTGAGACCAACACAGGGCACTCCCGTGTGTTCTGCTGATAAGCACCGGTGCCTCTGCCTGGGTTGATTAGTCCCGTGTGACTCCGGAGTGCGTGCGTGTGAGAGAGAGACAGAGAGAGAGAGAGAGACAGAGAGAGAGAGAGAGAGACAGACAGAGAGAGAGAGAGAGAGAGAGAGAGACAGAGACAGAGACAGTGTGTGTTGTGTGTGTGTGTCCGTGTCAAAGTCAATACAGCGGTTATAAGGACTGGGGACAGGCGCCAGGGATGCGTATCTCACCTCGGCCACCTATTTACTGCCTGCATGACCTTGGTTGGGCCAGGGCCTCAGTTTCCCTCCCCCTCCTTGTAAAGCGGGGGCGGGGTAAAGGAGAGGGGTTGGGCCCGAGGCGGGGGCCCTGAACGCCGCGCTGAGGCACGGGACTAACCTGTAGTAGCTGAGGAGCCCGTTGCTCAGTACGAACCAGCGCCGTTGGTAGCCCTTGATGTAATTGGTCCACTTGAAGAGCCAGCCCTCCCGGGCCGAACCGGAGCCCGAGCCCCCGGCCCCGCCGCCCGAGCCCCCCGTGGGCGGAGCCGGGGCGGGGCCGGCCGCCGACCCTCCCCCAGCCGTGGCCGCGGGACCCGGCCCTGGCCCGGAGCCTCCTCCCGAGGCGGCCGCCGCGGGGCCCGGAGCTACTCCGGGCCCGGGCCCAGAGTCGCCGCGTCCTCCTCCTCCAGCTGCTGCCGGCCCCGAACCTCCGCCGCCCGGCGCAGCACCCATCGCCGGGCCGGGCCCCACCACTCCCCGCAGCTCTGTCGCCGCCATCGCCCCCAGACACCGGCCCCGGCGGCCCCGCAGCAGGCAGCGGCAGCGGCAGCGACAGCGACAGCACCCGGACTCTCTCACACACACACACACACACACACACACACACACACAGAGCGAGCGCAGCAGCGGCCGCCGCGCAACGTCCACGCCCCGCCCGTCCAGCGGCCGGGAGGCGGGACCTGCCGCCGCGTCGGAGGTCTCCCATTGGTGTCTGCAGCCGCCATTCGGCCAGTGGCTCCTCGCCATTGGCGCTCCTCCCAGGCTGGTCAGCTAGCCCCACCCCAAAGTACACGTGGGTGGGACACTTCCGCCAGAGATTCCGCGGATTGGGTGGCAGGGAGGCCAATCACATCCGGACCCTGGTTCATTGGTCCTGGGGGTTGGAAGTCGTCAACACTCACATAGGAAGAGGGAACCGGCCCAACCCTCTGCGTAGTTGATTGGCCCGGGCTTCCGCCACTGGTTTTAGTTTATGTCTCCGTCACCGCCACGTCACCCCGTTCCCTCACTCCTTCCTCATACCCTCTTCCGCCCTCACCGATTGGTTGTTGGGCACCTGCTGCTCTGGCTTACTCTAACATTTGCTGAGCCAATCGAGGTCCTAGGGAGTAGGAGCTTTTCGGCCTCCTCACTTTCTACTGGTGGATGCCGGTGCCACTTACTAAGCGGCGAAGAGGCGTTTCGGAGGCCAAGCGCTGATGGGAACCCTTGCAGAGGGGGAGGAGGCAGGACCTCGGAACCCAGGTAGATTACTGGCTCCGGGGTCCTGACACATTAGGCCTGTTGATGCTGACCAATGGCGACTCTGGGTTCCAGAGCAGCCAATCCAAGCTGGGAATAGGGCTGTGGGCGTGGTCTCCTTCGGACCGGGTGGGGGCGAAGCATAGATGAGAGAAGAGGACGAGCCTGGGTTAGCGCAGGCGCAGTGCAGGCGGGGCCTTCTCTCGCTGGCTACGTCTCCTTAACCCAGGAGGTGTCCGTGCCTCCTCCGGGCTGCAGAATCCTCTGATACAGGCTGGGGCTTCTCAACACCTGGTTTTCGGGAGTCGACGCAAGCTTACAGGGCCCATGGCGGTGCAGCTATGGGCAAAGGTTCCGTCCTGCTCGCTCCCACCTCCCTGAGCTCCTGCGCGCCCCGCCCCAACCCCTCCCCCCTCCTCCATTTCGCCTCCCCCTCTCCTTCGGTCTCCGAAGCCCGGCCTTCTCTCCTCCTCCTTGACGCCCCCGCCCCGGATCCGTTCTGTTTAACTGGGCGGTGGATTACGAGGCGGAGCCTGCTCTTTGTGATTGTCCTTTCTTCCTCGGTTCCACCAAAGATTGTGGTGAAAGGGACGGTTTCGGAGACACTGGAGAAGTCTTGTATGAACTGACCCATAGCGGAGTTCAGAACCGGGAGGACAATTGAAACAGTGACAGCAAGTGCGCTGTGTGTAGACACAAGCAACTTGGAAAGTCTTCGGAGCCCTGGTGGATGCGGAGACCACGATCGGGTCTGCCGTCCCCTCCCGACCCGGAGGTGGGGGCTTGGGGCAAAGAGGAAACTTGGCTGGACGTGGACAATGCAGAAATGTGTTTTGCTTGTTTTTCCATTGATGGGAAGGAGATGAGAGGGAGAGAAAATAGATATGTGTTCACTGGTGGAAATTTAAAAATAAAAGCAAAGGCTTTCACTGTAAGCACTAAAGGCAGGCTGTTGGGTTATATTCTGGAGTAGTAGAAGGGCCTTGACCTGGGTGCAGGACCATAACTAGGGCAGGGTGACTGGTGCTTTGCCCTCGGTTGCCAATTTGGCATCCTTCTGCCCCCCTCCAGCTGGCCCCAGGAATCTTGTCCCTTTACAAGGGCCTAAGTTGTGTAATGAGGGGACTTCCCCCTTCTACCTCCTTGCTCTGCCCATTCTCACCTCTCTACTTCTAGGGGTTTTCTGGTGGAGCTGTATGTACATACCTAACCTCCTTTGGGACTCCCCAGTCCTCCCAACTGAATTTCCCTGATTGTAAGTTAGAGTGTGATTTGTTATCAGAAGACCTGTTTGCCATGTCCTGCTCTTCATGTGCAGACTGTATGTAACCAAGTCAATTAACCTTGCCCAAACTTGAGTTTGCCCATCTAACAAATGAGGATAAAAGTGTTGATACTTCCTGCCTCATCATAATGTAAGTCCTTTATAAACTTTAAAGCCTTATGGAAATGTGAGTTATTGTGATTAGAAAGATGAAATCAGACAGAGTAACTACCACCTTCAAAGGTGTTACCATCTTGTAAATTCTGATGGGGTACATGTGCTTTGGAACACCACACTGTCCATAATTATGGGTCAGACTTACACAACTCCATTGGGAAGCCAGGAATGAAACCCAGCTCAGTGCCTTCTGTGTCTCCCTATGCTGCCCAGATTCCTCAGACACTTACTAGTGTGCACCTTAGGCAGCTCTCTTAATCACTGTCTGCCTCAGTTTCCTCATCACTAAAATGAGGATAGTGATAATACCTAACTCACAAGGTTGTTGTGAGGATCAAGCATACCTTAAAATGCTATACAAATGCTAGCTGTTATTATTATCGTTATTATTACTATTCTTTCATAAAATCTCTCCCATTCATCTCCTGCTCTCCACTTACACAACTACCACCCAGGTTCTGGCCCGCATCACCTCATACCTAGACTATTGCACTGGCCTTCTAATTGGTCTCCCTTCCTCAAGTGTCTCTTCATTCCAGTCCATCCTCTAGCCATAGTGACCTTCCCAAACTGTAGGTCTGATCCCTTCCTCTCTGCTCAATGAATGCCAGTGGTTCCCTGTTACTTCCAGGATCAAATATCAAGTCTGTTTGGCTTCCAAAGTCCCTCACAACCTGGCCTCTTTCCACCCTTCCTGTTGTCTTACACTTGCTCTACTCCCTGTACTCTGCATTCTTTAAACACCACATTCCATTTCTGGCATCTGGGCATTTTCCCTGTCTGTCTTCCATACTCTTACCTCCTGAGGGCCTTCTCCAATCATCCTGACTGATGTTTGGCCACTAGACCCAGATGGTTCTGGAGGAGAAAGTGGGGCTGGTGACTCTGCACAGCCCTCCCTCACTTACATCCAGTTTACTTGCATGTCCTGGCATCACCTCCCTGATGTCATGGTCCTCTTGGAGAATGAAGAAAAATAACAACCACCATAGGAAGGTCAAAGGCTTTGTTTGCTTAGCACCGTCTCTGGCACAGAGCAGGTGCTCAATAAATGTTTATTGACTCAGCGTCCACCTCTCAGTGTCCCAGACAACTACACTTCTTATACTCCACTGCTAAACCTCTCCTCTTTCTGACTTCACTAATTCTGGCACTGTCCTTCACCAGCCTCCTGTGTGATAAACCTGAGGATTGTCTTTGATTTTTCCTGATCTCTTATTTTATATCTGGCTGATTGTCTATCCTATCACTTCTATTTCTCTGTTCCTGTCTGTTCTTACTACTGCTCTTGAAAAGGACCCCATCGCGTGCACACACACACACACACACACACCTCCCACCCTACTGCAATAGAATCTACTGCAATAGATTCTGAAAGGTCTTCCTGCTTCCTAGAAAAAGCCCTTCTTCTGGCCATCTTTCATTGTGTTGCCAGAATAATCTTCCATTATGTGGTCATGTCATTCATTCCTCTGCTCAAAAATCTGCTGTTTCCCTATTGTCTCCAGAATAAACCAACTCTTTTCTCTTCTCTCTATAACCTAGAGCCACACATGCTTTGTCTTTCTAACTGTATCCTGCCCTCAGCCCCCTCTGTGCTCCAGCCAAACTGGTCTGACAGACACACACTGTGCCTTCAGACTTTGGCTCACACTCTTCTATGTGCCTTTAATACTCTCTCTTCACCTGTTGAATTCTGACCAGTCTTTTAAAGTCCACCTCAGATATGGTGTCATATCTTACAAGTGTCTCCCAGACATACATCCATGCAAAAAGATCCTTCAAGATTCCTTAGAAGACATCAAAACAGAAATAACCCTGCTGGTTGGCCCTCTTATCATGACTGGTAGGAGAGGCACAGCATGATGTGTATGCACGTCAAAGGCTTTCACTACTGTGATGGCAAAGATCCGGTACGGAGTCCAAGTTGAAGACGTACGTGCTCTGTGCGTGGTGAGGTTATCCGGCTGCTCTTGGTGATGCATGATATCGTGCTGTGATATGTACCCTATAATACTGCGGAGTTTCCTCAAATAGACTAATTAGTATACATTTATTAAGCACCTTCTATGTGCCAGGCACTGTGCTAAGTGCTCGGGTTACAAAAAGAGGTGAAAGACAGTCCCTGATCTCAAGGACCTCACAATCTAATAGGGGAGACAATATTCAAACAATTATATACAAACAAGCTAGCTAAAGAATAAATAGCAAATAACAGAAGGAGGTAGCTAGGTGGCACAGTGGATAGAGCACCAGCCCTGGAGTCAAGAGGACCTGAGTTCGAGTCCGGCCTCAGACATGTAACACACACTAGCTGTGTGACTCTGAAGAGGTCACTTAACTCCAATTGCCTCACATTAAAAAAAAAAAAAGAAAAAAGGAAATAAGAGGGAAAGGTACTAGAATTAATTAAGAGGGATTGGGAAGGACTTCCTGCAAAAGATAGAATTTTAGTTGAGACTTAAGCCAGGGAAATCGGGGGAAGTTGAGAAGGGATAGTTTTTCAGGCATGGGGGAAGGGGGGGCTAGCCAGAGAAAATGTCTAGATCCAAGAAATGGAGTGTCTTATTTGTAGATTAGCCAGTAAGCTGATGTCTCTGGATCAGAGTACATGGTGAGCACTAAAGTATAAGAAGACTGGAGAGATAGGAGGGGTCTAGATTATGAAGGGTTTTGAATGCCAAATAGTATTTTGCATTTTTTATGTTGGTAGTGATTGGGAACCATAAATTACTCAAAATAATTTTGTCCACTACTAAACTTATACATCAAAGAGGCCACTGATAAGAAGAAAGTCCTTATATGTGTAAAAATATTTATGGCAATGATTTCTGTGAAAGTAAAGAATGTGGAACAAAGTAGATGTCCATTGAATGGGGAATGGCTAAACGAGTCATGGCACATGAATGTAAAGGAATTTCACTGAGCTATAAGACATGACCAATATGATGAAGACAGAAAACATGGAAAATCGATGCAGAGTAAATTCAATAGAGCCAAGAAAACAGTATACCCTATGAAGACAAGCATGCCAACAGAAAAAACAACCACACAAGAAAAATCGAGCGAATGCTGCCAAATTACAGAGAACAAACACGGCTCAAAAGAAGAGCCATAAGACACCCCAACTCACTCCTTTGCTGAGGTGGGAGGGCCACGAGGGTGTTATACTTGACATGTTTTCAGACTTTTTTGATGTGTGTTCAGTGTTGCTGTTTTTCTCTTGTTTTCTTTAAAAATATTTGTTTTAAATGTACATGTGTATGTATGTATATACACATACCCATGTATTATGGTTCTCTGGGAGGGGGTAGAGGGGAGATACTGGGGAAAATTTTGGTGATATAAAAAAACAGAAAGACATCAATAAAATTTATTTCTTAGAAAAGAAAGGACGTGACTCTGGTGTCCTTGTGTGTAACATAGAGTAAAATGGACTAGAACAGAGGTGTGGAACATGCAACCCACAACAATCCTGAGGACCTTCCAAACCAGATTAAAATGTAATTTGGAAATATTTAACAGATGAACAAAAATACAGTAAAACTTAGATAATAGAACATTTTAAAACTAAGTCAGTACATGGCCTGCAGGGATTCCTGTTTGGATTACTGACCCTGTTTCTGTTTGCCTCTGTTGACAACAGCATTCCAGAAGACATCACAGTTAGAATATATACTCCCTGAAGGCAGGGACTAGTTTATTTTTGTCTCTGTGTCTGCAACCCCTAGCAAAGGGACTGGCATATTATAGGTGCTGAATAAATGCCTTTTCGTTGGCTGATTGATTAGGAGGATTTGAGACTGAAGGTGTCCAACAAATAGTCATGAATGGGTCCATGCTAATTCAGAAAGTGCCCCAGGTCTTTGGCCCTGTGCTTATCAACATTTTTATCAGCTGACTTACATAAAAGCAGAAATTCCATGCTTATTAAATTTATGGATACAAATGTGGGACGTGAATTCAATTCAACAAACATTCATTATGCATCTACTCTGTGTTTGGGGCATAAAGAAAAAAGAAACCAATGCATTCCCCTTCCTTAACTAGCTTACATTTCACTGACAGGAAGCTGGGAATAACTAACACATTAGATAACAGACTCTTATCCAAAAAGATCTCTATAGGCTAGAATAATGGGCTGAACCCAATCAAATGAAATTAGGTAGGTATAACAGGAGACTGTTGTGTCCATGAGGACCCAGTTCTGGGAACATACAAATTGGTGAGCCTGTATCTGGAAGTGCCTGAAGACATAGGTCAGAGGGACATTGCTCTCTTCTTCAAAGTATGCATAAATTGGCCAAATCAGTCTCTTCCCCTGTGGGAAAGCAGGCATTGCTGCAGGCCTCCAGAGAAGGGAAAGTCTCAGGTTCTCCCCAGCCAGGCTGCTGCCACGTGGCCTGTGAATGCATGGCTCTGCTGTTGCTTCCTTCGCTGTTGTATCTGGTCTTTCCTGTTCTCAGGTAAAGGATTATCGGAGACAGAATGACCTAAGGAGATACTAATGGACCCCAGAGGTCCAGTGGTAGGAGTGCATGGTGGAGACTGTTGTACCTGCCACAGTGAATCCAGGTGAGGCACCAAGGAAGTCCTGAGAAGCAACCTTCAAGGTGCAGCCCAGCAGCTGAGACACCATGCCCTGCAATAAGGGACAGATTCGGGAACTTGGTGGGATCGAGGCTTGGTATCAACCTTTAAGTTTGAGCATTGTCTTGGGGATACCAAGGGGCTATACTTGCCCTCAGGCAGGGGAAATGTTGGTAACTTCTGTGCTTGCTACATCTTCTCAGTAAATATTCCTTTGTAAAACTTAAACAATGTTACCTAGTTGTCAGTGATACAAAGGAAACACCAGTTGGTTAGAAGACATTTTGATGCTAATACTGGACTAATCAGGGACAGAAGGGTGATGACAAATGGCACTGGCAATTGATATCGTGGGGAAATACACCAGAATGGGGTCTCAAGCTGATTGCATTATAATGATAACACAGCCTCTCACAGGTACTCCTAGCACACCAAGGGGAAGACGTACCTGCCCAATGTGGACGCAACTTGCTCTCCAGATGTGTGCTGGGAGAGTAAGCCCAGAGCCGTTGTCTGTGAACTACATGGGCATAAATATATAAAGTCTTGCATTTGGGTTAAAATAAATCAGCTGCAACATGATAGGAGGGAAGTTATAGCTAAATTAGAAGTATCAGATAGGTGGGAGCCATTGCAGCTCACAACACTCCCT